ATAACCAATGTTCTTTTGTATCGGTAATGTCGCGTGCATTAAAATTGTAATAACGAAGTAGGTTTTTAAAAAAAAAAACATTAGTTCCCGAAATCAAACTAGATGTCGCTACGGTACGTTCTTGATTTCTCCATGACAACCTTTCCGGTTTTCTTTCATGTATAAAAGTAAATTATTTTTCAAAACTCAATAAACAACTCATATTCCATTTGTACTTTTTCGTGTTTCGTATGTTGTATATCTAAGTTTCGAACTTGTCGAAATTCAGTTTTTTAATGTTTTAGTTAAAAGGAACGAAAATGACTGTCTTTGGTCCATTCGTTTCCTGCAGAAATCAACTTTTGCTAGAGTCGCCATCTAGTGAGGTGCTTTTTTATATGCCTCATTAAAAACGCCTGCAAGTGCGTAAACTACCCTCTTTTAAAATCCAACATAATTATAATTTGTTTGTAAATAAATTTTGATTATTAGATAAAACATCCATTTATTAATATTCGTGTTTATATAAATAATTTTTTTATCTGTGATACTTTCGTTTTACTTCTTGGTATAAGGATTTACTTTCAGGATATAAGTGTGTTTTTGTAGCATATCTAATTGTATTTTTTAATGTATAGGTATTATATCAATAAGTAGCCGATAAGAATTGCTGTCAAAGTAATTTAATACAAGTTTTCGCACGTGGTACCTAGGGAACCCTTTGGCGGGATAACTATTTAATGAGAAACTTTTCTATATTTTCTCGGGTCTGGGTGTTGTGGTACCTTCGTTGTATAACATACTATATAATACCCCTTTAGCTACATACTTATTTTGGAATCAGAACAATGCATGTGATTTTGTCTAAAATGTATATTTATTTAATTTTGAATTTGTTGTTTTATGAATATATAAGTCCACCATCATTAATAATGAACTAGTTTTCCGCCAGCGGCTCCGCCTGCGTGCTTCTATAATGCTATTAATATCATAAATATTCAAATTTCTTTGTTTGGATGTTTGTCCGTCAATCACGCCGAAACTACTAAACGGATTTTGATAAATTTTGTTATACAGATAGGGTATTAGCTAACTTAGATAATAGGATACTTTTTATCCCACTAAACAGTTCCCTAGAGACCACATGGGCGAAGCCCTGGCGGAAAGCTAGTATACATATAAAAAAACCTTCCCCTTGACATTAAAATAAGTCGTTAAGTTTAAAAGATTACAGCTTAGAGACAGCGGGATGCGACTATATTTTATAATATGTATGTTTAACGCTTAAATACAAACCAATTTTTCACAGTATGTCATTGTATAATTTTACTGTAGATAAAAGAATTTGTGCAATATTAAAAATGTAAGTAGGTACTTCATTAATAAATAAGATAATTCAAATTAATATGTAAGCTGTTTAAATACACAATGAATATTAATTTCAAGAATCATGTGAATATTTCATTAAATAATTGTGGAAATTGCTAATTAGTTTCATTTAATTAGAGGTTAAAGTAATATTTTGTGCTCTAGGGGAAAAGTGGATTCATTTTTTCAAATACTCTGGATTTTATTACTAAACCCATTATGAAAAATGGTTTAGAACTGAGGGGGGGAGGGACTGGCGACAGTGAATCTTCAAAACTCTTCCAAACTTCTTATCTCAAAATTATAACTAAAAAAAAACACTTGATATATCACCTGATATAGTTTGCAAAATATATATATCTATTATTTTCTAATTTACCCCATTTATTTTTTATTATTATATGAATATAACGAAAAATGGATCAGAAATATTCATAATAATAAATCGTTGAACTTTTCTAAGTTGATACTCGGTGATAAAGTAAATAAATAAATAAATAAATAAATAAATAATTTGATAAAATAAATTGTCGTTCTCAGATCTTGTCCAACTATTATGTGCTCATATCTTATCTCAATTCCCTCGAGCGTCGTCGGGCACATTTTACAGGACGATTCTGTAAAATGTGCCCGAGTTCACGTCGTTTAGATTAGAAATTCTATTGATACCATTTTATGTATAAAAATACAAAACAAAATTGATTGTATTGTGGCGCATCTGTTTTATAATCTTTGTCGACCACTCTGTGGCAACGTAATCTATGATTTTTGTATTTTGAAGTGCCACTTACAAAATACAAAAATCATAGATTACGTTGCCACAGAGTGGTCGACAAAGATTATAAAACAGATGCGCCACAGTATATACGCGTCTCAGATATTCTATCACTATGTCATTTTGAAACTCACTTCACTTCACTTATGCCACGAAATGTTATTACCGATTCAAATTAGAGCGGATGTCGCTTTTTGAAATGAATTCACACCTATTAATAAACAAGTGATTGTTGACTTGAGGCCACACAGATACTCTTACTCTAGTATTTCTAACCCATTTTTAGTGTCATTTCATCCATTATCTTTAGTAACTCGACGGCTGTTCCACAAATTAAATCTTTACCTGTTTTTCAAAGCTAAACCCCACGAGGCTCATATCAGACTCTTAAATTTCACTAAAGGGCAACATAAAAAAATAAAAACTATAAAAAACAACACCACTCGTATCAAGATTTTAATATAAAAACTTCAACATTTACAAGGCATTTATACAACAACATAATATCGCATCGGTGTGTGCGTTAGTACATTAACATCCAGATCTGTTGCGGGCAGATCGTGGTCGCCATTTCATAAAATGCCTAGACACATCATTGAATAATACATTCACCTGAACTAAATACAATGGTACACAAAATGATAATTCAATTAAATTTCTTTTTTTTTTGGAATAGGCATTTTATGAAATATAATTAAAACATCTAGCTACATATAAAAGTAATCACTGAGGTATAAACAGATTGTCTTCGCCATTCTGGTCCTGAATTCAGCTAATGTTTAAGTAATAATAATATTTCAATAGAACGTCAACTAATTGCGTTTTGCCATCGCACCATCTACCTGAATTTCAATTATTAGTGCTATGTCTCCCTCACACATCAGAAGTGACAGATATATTTACTATAGTTGTGACACAGCTTTTGTTACTAGATAGTAACAAGAGCTGTGTCACAAAGGGTTGTAGTTGTAGCTGTTGACTTTCCATAATTACGCAACATTAGCGGAATTGTCCAACTAGTCAAATGGTGAATATTCTATTTCTTTGAACGCTAATCACGCTTAATCCTTTAAAAAAAACTGTTATTTGCTTACAAACTCGGAAAAAATGCCGTGATTATCGTGGTAAAGTGAAAAAAACTAAAGTCTGTTAAAGGTAGTACTCATTATAGTAATTTTTTTTATGAAATAAATAAATAAGAGTAGAATTAGCATTCAAAAGAATATACTGTCGACCATTAAGGGGATGTGATAACACTAGAACCTAATCAATAAATTGAAATCTAAAAAAAAAACTATTTTTTTTTTTCAATATATTGACGTGTATTTTAATTGAGGAATTAATTAATAATAACTGCCGTGCTAATAAACAATTAGGATCTTTTACTTGTTCAAACCCTCGCTGATTTCTCTGTTAAGACGGCAAAATTTTAAACCTAACAACTTAATAATTCATTGTCGCCACAATAACTAGCTAAGACTTAATATAAAATACATTTTGCCATCAACAACAACAACATTATATTATATAGATTGCACAAAGTTTATAATTAAATATAATTTATTAGTTTTAATTATCCACATAATCGTATAACAATAAGAATATATTAAACAAAATGACTATAAAATAAATAATTCAAGCTTTTTTGTTTCATAAATAATAATTTGCCAATTTTCCATTAAACCTTGAGATATATTTAAATTATCTAGATAATATATTATGAAATTATAGAGGTCGATAAGATCAGTCTATTTTTATATATACACAAGACAGAGCAGCAGATTACCAATTAAGTCTCACTAAATTAATGTTTAAAGTAGACTAAATGAACTTGATTTTTTGTTGTAACTTGAGGTGTTGTGTACAGTACAATTCAAGTATATTTAAAGTGACATAGAGCAGAAAATATTTATATAAAGCCAAAAAACCTTTAAAAACTTAAGACATACGACAAATATTATTTAAAAATAATCATAAGGCACCATGCTAAAATTTACGAGTATGTTAATGACATTATTTATATTTATTTTTGAAAATATTTAAAGACAAGTGATGTCACAAATTCAATAAATTTCATATATGTAATATTATTAATTAATTATATGATCAAATTCTCTATACCTTAGTAATATCTCTGATTGTATTTGAGTAACATGGTCATTTAATATAATGACTAGGGAAACGAAAACAAAAACATTTACTTAAAACGAACATTTAACATTTTGCCTATTTATATTTTGCCTAAAATATAATGAAAAAAACTTAAAATATATTTATATTTTTTTTTACCTGCAACATAATTGTAACGAAACGCCACTTTATAAAATAAACCATTCATTTCTAAATCACCCTGTAAACTGAGATAGCGTTATATTAAATCTTAAGACAGTTTACGAATTGTCCAATCTGCAATCATTAACAAACGCAAAAAAAAATTGCATTATTTTAAACACGCAACAATTAAAATGTAGCCATACAATATTAGTTTGCTATTGAATAATGTGAGTTGTATCATGAGTTTGAACATTAACTTGACGTATTAAAGTCTATATTTCAACAGCATTCCATTGGCTTTAGCTTTAATAATATCTATAAAAGTTTTAGTACTGTCTGTTTGTTGAGAATGACATTAATTATTGTCGGTTCGATACAAATGTATTCGTAACAATATATTTAAGTATATCATAGAATTGACGATATTTTAAAAAAAAAATCTATTATTATTAATATTAAAAGAGTGTATTTCTATTGGAGTTTAATTGTTATTCGATATTGGAAGGGCTTTATTCGTGCAAATTTAAACCTAACGGACAACTTTTAAGGTATAAAATGATTTTGGCTACAGAGGCAGTCGCGTTTTTTTACATCCGGGATGTATTTACATCAGTGCTTTGGCTAGGTCTCTTAATGATGTTTTGATTGCGTCGTACGTAGCGAACGATATGCCCACAGCTATGGGTCCCTTCACCCAGTTCATACTCAGCCCCTTGAAGAAGCCACGCCAACCTTCCGATCTGATCGTGTGAAAACATGTATTTAGATACATATTATATAATTCTAAAAAAAGAGTAGCAACTTTCGCAAGGGTCGGTCACAGGATGGGTGACCATAAATTATTAATTCGAACTCCTTCGTGTTTCGGGAGGAACGTTAAGCCGTCGGTCTCGGTTGCATCTGTAAAACATTAATACCCACGAGTTCACATTGGGCCCGAGTAGACGGTCATTCTCCTTAACCATCCATAAGGAAGGTCTGAGCTCTTGCATATATAGTAACATAACTCTGTATACTCTATCACATAATACTTTAGTTTCATATTTTAGAAACGGCTTATATATTTTTATCGTAAATATGATAAAGTAAACGTCCGGCTCGAAGGATCAATTTTCTAAACCGTGCCTTAAAATGTATAGTGATGTTTGTTGTAATTGTTACGTGTAATCGAATAAATAAATAAATAACACAAAAGTACAATTCTTCATTTGACTAAATGAAGTAGCCAAGGAATGATCAATAGCAAATCGCAGCAACTATGCCCGCGCGAATCGGACCGGTTAATTCGCCGGTCCTTCGAGTCGGATAACACACGTAACTTTCGCTCGTCCTTCCTGTCTGCTGAAGAATGTCCCGAACGGGGGAGGAACTAGATTATCGAGCGGCTCGAGGTCGATCTATTATGCGGTTGTCGATGAAAGGTTATCTTGTTTTCGAACACATTGAACCGAGGGAGGGAGAGGGACAGGGGCCAAGGAAGACCTGGAGAGATCAGGGAATGAGTACTCCCGTTCGCCGAGGTGCCTTCCGCGTTCACTCGTTCTTCACAGGCCACGGGGGCGAGCTCCGGTCTAAGGCTCGACGTGTAGTCTCCCTGCGCTATCAAAAAGAAAAGCTCGAGGCGAGAGAAGGACGTCACACAGAAGCCCCTCAGTAGGCCAGAAGCTGCGACGGCATACCGACCTGTAGACGTGCCGCACTGTGGCCGGCACGGTGGCGCAGTGCGGCGCGGCGGTCTGCATGCGGCGGCGCACGATGTCCAGCGGGTACGAGGCGGTCTGCGCCAGCGCCCCCGCCGCGCCCCCGCAGCACGCACTCGCCAGGGCACTGCGCCCGCCCCCCCAGCGGTCTGCGGTCCGGGCGGGGGCGTTAACTGCGACAGTTCGATACCGCACGCGCACGTAAACACGCTCACCGACGAGCGGCCTGAGTAGAGGTGGGCGCTTAAACGAACGAACGCTTAAAAGCGGTTTTTCACTAAAAGGTTATCACACGTCCCGTCATCTATCGAGTCGTGATTTAACTACTAGCTTCGATAAATTTTTCTATTTCGGCATTTTTCTAATGGACGGCAGCACTTTACATAAACGCACTGCAGTTTACTATTACGCGTAATATCCGTCTAGACTTTTTTGCAACATCTTTTTTGGTCGATTAATCCCGACGCTTTTTTAAACGGAACTTAAAATAAAACAGTACGCTTTTCGTTATCGGAGTAGGCGCGCGTTGTGTTGAAAGTTAATCGATTGCGAAAATTAAACTTCATTGTATTGATTCACAGTCCTAAATCTGTGATTAAGTACGAAGGAAAATTCATTGATTAAAATAAAATACAAAAAATTGGACTACATTTTGTTTACTCACAACGATTTCGTTTTATTTGGATTTAGCTCGTTAGCTTTGAAAAAATATTTATTATTTTAATCAAAGCAAGTTAGTTTTATAATACCTAGAACACAACATTCCACACTCATTATAACAATTTCCAAACGTCAGTAGAAAAAAACGTTTAAACTATAAGCAGTTTTTAAAAACGCTTATTAAAAATAGTAGAACGTAACAACGCTTAAAAATTTTAAACCGTTTTTTCCACCTCTACGCCTAAGTGAACTTAACAGGACCCTCGGTAACGCGTATCGCGTCGAGACAAGTTATGCCGTGATGTCAAGTTAAAGATCTACATAAAAACCAAGATCTACAAGTTGTTGTGTGTCGATATTAAACTACTAGTGGCCGCCGGCGACTTCGTCCGCGTTTTCCATTATTTCTTCGCTCCTAATAGTTGCAGCGTGATGTTATATAGCCTGAAGCCTTCCTCGATAAATGGTCTATTCAACACAAAAAGGCCCTCCATGACATCATCGATGTGGCGGAGAATTAAAAAAATGTTGTAACAAAAAATTTTCATCCTGTACTTCTGAAAACACATTAAGCTGTTGGTTTTGGCGGCGTTTACAATCGTTAACACCCACCGATCCGCCCTGGGCCCGCGTGGTGGGTCCCAGCCCATTCTCCTTGTTCGATTCCACCCATAAGGAAGGCCTGTCCCGAGCGCGGGGCCATCAATAGACCGGTGATGAATGAAAATCAATACATTACCGTGATATATTTGCTTGAGCGTGTCGTAAGTGAAGAAGGAGACGCCCGCATACGGTATCACACCGAGGACAGTCGCCGGGTACCCCCTGCAATATGTTTATATGTGGATAAACAAACGGACCGAGTATATTGTATGGCTACGGAGCGCAGCGACGGTTCGTCTACGCATTACTAGATGGCGTTATGCGCCAATGAATCGCGCTAGCACTGTTGAAACTGCCTGTTTCATATAAACATACATCGAGTCGGCGAGAACACTGCTGCGACGGTCACTGCGGAAGAAAAGGACGGGTAGCTGTTCTAGTTTTGGTAATCCCTGGAATATACCAGAAGGGCCGAGGCCAACCTATAATGTTCTACGTCTAAATACGTAGCGGACTACCCGTCCCAGAATTCTTTCAGTAACTAGTACATTCATATTATTCCATATATTTCCCCCCTCACCTGTATAGCGCGCGGGCCCCCTCCTCGGCCCAGACGCGCGCGAACACGCTCCCCCCTCACCTGTACAGCGCGCGGGCCCCCTCCTCGGCCCAGACGCGCGCGAACACGCTCCCCCCTCACCTGTACAGCGCGCGGGCCCCCTCCTCGGCCCAGACGCGCGCGAAGACGCTGCGCAGCGTGCGGTACCTCCCCCCACTCCCCCTCACCTGTATAGCGAGCGGGCCCACTCCCCCCCTCACCTGTACAGCGCGCGGGCCCCCTCCTCGGCCCAGACGCGCGCGAAGACGCTGCGCAGCGTGCGGTACCTCCCCCCACTCCCCCTCACCTGTATAGCGAGCGGGCCCACTCCCCCCCTCACCTGTACAGGGCGCGGGCCCCCTCCTCGGCCCAGACGCGCGCGAAGACGCTGCGCAGCGTGCGGTACCTCCCCCCACTCCCCCTCACCTGTATAGCGAGCGGGCCCACTCCCCCCCTCACCTGTACAGCGCGCGGGCCCCCTCCTCGGCCCAGACGCGCGCGAAGACGCTGCGCAGCGTGCGGTACCTCCCCCCACTCCCCCTCACCTGTATAGCGAGCGGGCCCACTCCCCCCCTCACCTGTACAGGGCGCGGGCCCCCTCCTCGGCCCAGACGCGCGCGAAGACGCTGCGCAGCGTGCGGTACCGCGCGCGGCCGGTGACGGCCATGCGCGCGCGCGCCATGTCCAGCGGGTACGTGAGCGACTGTGACGTCACGCCCGCCAGGCTGCCCGCCACCAGGTGCACCACGCGGTGCTGTCTACATACACACATATATGTCGCATCATCTTTACGAAGATCGTTTGATTTAGTTTCTTTTATTTTAATTGCTCGATTACTTAATTACTCGATTGTAGAGAGACCGTGATCATCGATACTTTTAATTTTATTAGAATGGTGACACTGACTTTGACAGTTCGTTAACAAAAAGCGAATTGCCGCCATTTTCGCGAACATTCTGTTTCCGATCGTCGAGGAGTAAAGACATCCGACGACATCGCGCTCATCTCGTTATATTTTCGTATGAAAAGTGATAAAATATAACACGTCCACGTCGGTATACACGCGTGCAGTGTTATTTTAAAGATAGTCCTCCGATATGGACGATCTATTTGGGCTTCGTAACAGCCCCTTCTGACTACCTGCCGTTATATACACAATGATTGTCATCTGACGAGTAATAGCAAAAAGAAAAACGTAATCTTTTATGCAGCATTGTTTTGTAACTTAGTTTAAATGGTATCGGTTTGAATTAGACGATCATACGAATAAATAAATAAGGGGGCGTTCGAGTATTACGTAACGCAATTAGGGGGAGGAGGGGCTCGTTCGACGCTTTACGCGACATTGTTGTTTTTTTGCAATTGAATACAAAAATAACAAATTAAGACCATGTAAAGTTGGCAAAGGACATCGCTTCAGTCAGAATTATGAGAGTGAGGTCAAACTGTAAAAAAAGAGCAATCAACTTTTCAGGTTTAGCCACTCGAGTGTTACGTTTATGGAGGGGAGGGAGGGTCAAAAATCTTCAAAAAAAGGGGTGTAGACAACTGTTTTGTATTTTATTTTTATATGTATATATGAAATGCATCAATAAAAATGTATAAAAAAATGTATCATATAATAAGTTAAGATCTGAAGATAAATTTAATTTTTAAAATTTCCCGCGATTTACGCCATCTTGAGATATGGCGTCGCTATGACGTCACGTCCCCCTAAAACTAATATCGTTCTATGTACGCATAAGGTTCAATTCTCTAATTTCTAATATGAGTATAATTAATTTAAGCAATATTATAAGTATACTCAACATAAAAGTGTGATTATCGATAATAGTACAGTAAAAACTACCAGAAAAAAAAATGTATTTATTTTCGTTTACTATCTACACCTGTATTGCGTAACATAATACTTGACCGGCCCCTAATGCCCCTTTTAACTAAACTTAGGAGTCGCCCAACTCTGACATCTAAATATGTGGGCGTTGTCAAAAGTGATAATGCGTTTCATCAATGACGAAGAGACTACTAACGACTTTAGACAATATACATTTAATCTTTGGCTATAACGGATGTGTCAAGGGATAAAATCAATTTAGCGAGCTGGAATTAAGACATAAACAACGTGATTTCTTTTTTTAATTTTCGATCTTATGCTGTGTAAATACAAGACCACGTATATTTTTTGGTGAAACGACGAATCTGCTCACGACACTCTTAATATTAAGTTTTAGGTCAGTGAAAACGGCCGTAGTGAAGTAATTGTGTACGGATAAATAATAAATTAAATTAAATCCATTTATTTGGCACAAAATTTAAACAGAAGCAAACGCATAGGCAATTAATTCTCTGTCCCAAAACGCTTCCAGCACGTGTAGCATGACAAACTCGAGAAACGCTTTGTCTACACCCAAATGTCACTTTCTCGGGTCGAGAGCGAGATATAGTATAGGCGCACCCGAAAAAAGTGAGTGTAGATAAAACGTTGTCGAGTTCGTTATGCTACGCGTGTAGCTCAGCATATACTGGTCTTACTGGTTGGTTTACAATAAAATTACTTCAACTTTAAACAATCCAATCACTTGACATTAGCAGAATAGTGCGGAACGCGCAGACAGCAATACTTTTCTTTAAATTCTGTGTGACAAGTTATAAACGCACAAACGATCAGTGCAAAGTTTTCCTTTTTTATAAGATCGTTTCATAGGTCTGATCACAACTTATCACCGAAAAAATACACATTTTATAATCACAACTTATTATCGAAAAAAAATACCACAATGATTAACTCTGATAAATGCGGAGAAACAGGAGCAGAGCAAGATGATGCAAGATCCACATAGAGACAAAAAAAATACAATGATTAAAACTCTGACAAATGCGGAAATTTAATGCGGAGACACGGGAGCAGAGCGAGATGTTCAAAAAGCCATATTCACATAAAGAGACACAAATTTAAGTATACACACTGCGCCTGCTGCGGATCGTCCACTCCCAGCGCGCGTTTCCACTGCTCGTGCGCGGTGAACTGCACCGCGGCGTAGGGCACGATGCGCGCCATCGTGGCGCTGTTGCCGCGCCACAGCGCCGCCGCGCCCTCCGCGCGCGCGCTGTGCGACAGGAACGCGGCCGCCGCGCGCCACGAGTACGGCGTCTGCCTGCGCGACAACGCCACACCCACGCGTTACTGCACTGGCCAGGCCCGTGTTGAGCACAAGGGCGTTACACCCCCCGCACCGTGGGTAAAGTGCGCGATATCTACACGTTACTGCACTAGCCAGGGCCGTATTAAGCACAACTGGCACCCGAGGGCGTTGCGTGGGTAAAGACGGGCCTGACACTAGCGCAACTAAGAACTAGAGTTGTTCTAAACGACTAAAATATATTAACGTGCTGACACTAAATGTTATAAAAAATTAGGGTGTCAATGATGAAGTATTAAAAAAAAACATTAGTTCCCGAAATCAAACTTAAGAAAGATGTCACTACGGTACGTTCTTGATCTTGCGGTTTTCTTTCATATTTAAAAGTAAATTAGTTTTCAAAAGTCAATAAACAACTCAAATCCAAATTTTACTTTTTCGTATTTGTATTGATATATAAGTTTCGAACAAATTTCAGTTTTTGAACACTTATGTCAATTAAAAGGAACGGAAATGACTGTCTTAGGACTATCCATTCATTTCCAGCAAAAATCATCTTTTGCTAGAATCGCCAATAGTGGAGGTGCTTTTTAGTGCTTTCGTTTTTTTTTTTAATACTTCCTCATTAATGCGTTTATCTATTACCGCGATAAGTACATAATAGAAATTTGTGCGCGACAAACGCATTAAATCAAGCAGTACACTAAATCTCGTGGCACCTTATTTAATTATATGTCAATCTTTGAACTGAGCGCGTGCTATATGTATAAATAAGGTAGTGTCACCTAATAAGACCCAATGTTTTTTACCACTGGAGTGCAAAAACCTCAACCTTGACGAACGTTTTGTAACCTGCCTCTGCCTTTAATGGTCAGTCGATGCAGGACTGTAATTGAAACGCATTCTTGTTCGCTATTTTACATCCCAGCTGCCATAACAAGTGGGCCTTATTAGGCAAAATTACCTTAATAATTTATTAATATTTTATTTTTATACATGTGAAATAAAACTAAATGAACTGTGTACATTTGTTATCCCTCCACTAAAATTTGTCCTTATATTTATTAACATTATTATCCCGAAATCACATTCGACTGTTTTCATCGCCTACACCTGGCAACCCTGGCAGCTACGGCGGTTTGAAGATTTAATTACCACTATTCACGTGGACTCTAGCGCAGTCACTATCGCCGCTAGAGAAATAATAAAAACCGTATTGGATGTGCTAATAGGTGTGCTGCATAGATATGACGTTGAAATTTCAAAATTCAAGATGGCGGATTAGACAGCGACCATTTTATCCGGAAAATTGATAATTTTTCACGACTTTTAATTTATAGAGCTGATTTTGGCGTTTTTGATAACAATTTTCAGAATATTTCTAATAAAAAAAAACATGTATACAGCTGAAGTGTTGCCAGATGAAAAAAAACTGAAAATTTTTTGATAACGGGATTTTTGAGGAACTTTCGTGAAAATGTTTTAATACAAAAATTTACTATTAAATATAAGAGAATAAAAAACTACAAGCTGATTTATACAATATTTTTTTTAAAGTTTTGCTTGGGTTTTTCGACTGATTACTTCTTCTTTCTATTGCGTGTAAAGTGGATACCCCGTTTTCTTTGATGTATGGTGCTTTGTGTACTTAAACACCTTTTATTTGAAGATAGAACTTAGTAACTTTTCAAACTGTAAACCCGATATAACAAGAGACGGACTTAAAACCCCACCGCCCCGATTCCACTAGATACTTTATTATAAAAACACACATTGATTAAGGAGCTGTTTTTCTTATTAATGATTCATCATACTCGCTCATGATACAGTGAATAGGGATGATGACTAATTTTTGTTTGTTTGTCCGTCAGGTAGATTGTAAAAAAATATTAAACACGTATTTTTTTATTTTTTTCGTAATCATAAAATTACGGCGTTACATTGAGTTGAAATTTCGCATGACGTCACGTTAGTGTACGTTTTCTACTCAACTGTGACGTAGCGAGCCCCCACTCCTCAACTTTAATGCCTGTTATCTAAGCTATTTCTTGTTAAATTGAAGTAAAAAAAAATACGTATCTAATATATTTCTATTATCCGACTGACGGACTAAATAGAATTGCATTTTTTTTACCCAGTCGTCATCCCTATTGTCGCCGCTGAAATTGTGTTTTTGTTGATAAATCGAGCCGGCAATACTTATTATACATATCCTTAACGACCCACGATGTATTAATAGGTATTTTATGGGATGAACCACATACCGAGATCGCATTCAATATAATAAAAAAACTAAAAATAACCAAGATTCAAACGAACGCATTTTGATTCAGTCTTTGGCCCGTTTCCAATAAATATAAAATGTAAGATATTTCAATAAAATTATGATATTTTTTTTCTAATATTACAAAGAGAATAAACTTAAACTTTTGTTTTAATTCTATTTTCCATTCCAAAAGATCTTTCACAAATTTAAAGGCTTCATCATCGACGACCATTGAACATATATTTCATAGACAGATATCATTACCAGTGCACCCACTGCTGTAGTACATGCCTTAACATACCAAAGTCATAATTAATATTCATCATCATCATCATCACCAGCCCTTTTTACGTCCCCACTGCAGGGGCTCAGGCCTTCCTTATGGATGGTTAAGGAGGATGACCATCCACGCTGGCCCAATGCTGATTGGAGGATATTAACGACTGCAAATGCAGCCGGGACCGACGACTTAATGTGCCTTCCGAAGCACGGAGTAGCTCGAGATAATATTTTTTTTGGTCACCCATCCCGTGACCGACCCTAGCGAAAGTTGCTTAACGACTACGATCGCGGGCCGCGGCGCTTATCCACTACGCCACCGAGCAACTTTATTTTATAGTTAATATTATCTTTATTCAAATAAAATTATTAAAAGTATTTTTACGCGGGACCAATACAGACCAATGTTCAGGCAATCCACTCAAACAGCCAAAGGAGATATTTTAAACATTCGATTGAGATGATTTGTTATAATTTATTGTATTTTATTAGCATTTACATTGAAAACGAAGCATGTTATCATTATAAGACCATCGTCTTTTCTCTCTCTCTCTCTCTTTTTATAATGTATTGATCTGGTAATGACATGGTTTTTGTAAATGTCATTACTTCCATTAGAGCTGGTGAGTTTCTTGCTCGTTCTTCTTATCAGCCAAAAGACGTCCTGAACGTGTGGTAGGGAAAAAATGTTGGACGATCCAAAAGTACTTTTAAAAAGTCTATTTGAATAAAGATTATTTTGACTTTGACTTTGCATAAGTTCTTTATAAATAATTAGCTGTGCCCGCGACATCATCCACGTTGAAAGAAGCCTAAGTTAGTCCTCATTACATAAGCTATCTACCAGTGAAAATCCCGACAAAGCCGGTTACTTTAATTTTGAAAACGGACACTTCAGTTTTATTTATTCATATCTGTTATAGATGAACCAATGTGGACACTCACGAGGTCTGGAAGTTGATCTTGGCGCGGTCGAGCGGTGCGATGGTCGTCTTGGCGAGCGCGCCGGCGGCGGCGCCCGCCACCAGTGACGTCACCACCGCCGTGCCCCCGCCCACCTCGCGCTGGGGGGGCGCCCTCTCTGTAACAAACGCACGAAGCGCATAAATATACAGGGTTATATTATAAATATACAAGTAGCTCGGTGGCGTAGTGGATAAGCGCCGCGGCCCGCGATCGTAGTCGTTAAGCAACTTTCGCAAGGGTCGGTCACGGGATGGGTGACCGAAAAATTATTATCTCGAGCTACTCCGTGCTTCGGAAGGCACGTTAATCCGTCGGTCCCGGCTGCATTTGCAGTCGTCAATACCCTCCAATCCGCATTGGGCCAGCGTGGAAGGTCATGGTCCATCCTCCTTAACCATCCATAAGGAAGGCCTGAGCCCCTGCAGTGGGGACGTAAAAGGGCTGGTGATGATGATGATATTATAAAGTTACTACAAAGTTGATGATTAGTTTAAACAGCCTTCATTTTGTTCAATACCTATTAGTCCTGCAGACATTGTTGATTGTATTAATTATTATTGTAATACATACGTACGTACGTGTATTTTGATTAATGATATGATTGGTTACTTCAGATAAAGAGCTGGTGAGTTTCTTTCGCTTTTTTTTTATTGTCAGCGAAAAAACATCCTAAACAAGTGGTGGGGAGTATATCGGACTTCAAAATCCAATAAGTCGATATTTTATTGTGATATATATCGGCCTGAAGTTTGATGACATATTTAAATTTGATACAAGGGGTTTTAATACAACTCAACACTTTATACAAAAACAATCTCTCAAAAACACACACGAAAGAAATCTCAGCGTAAAAGTGTCTCTGACACACTGGTACACAGTTGCACAAACGTCCATTAATGTTTAATTACGACTTTAAGCTCTAATGAATGTTCTAAAATTCAATATTTGAACATATAGTGAAACTAATGCATAAATTGTAGAACTGGACGTGGAAGTGAAATTGCTAAAGAAATTAATGAAACCAATGTATCCAATACAAGATACTAGTATTGTATTAGTAACCAATGTATTAGTAAAACCAATGTATCTATATCTTCAAGTATTTCTTGCTTTATTCATTAATGAGAAAACGATGCTACACCAGCCCTTTTACGTCCCCACTGCAGGGGCTCAGGCCTTTCTTATGGATGGTTAAGGAGGATGGGCCATGACCCTCCACGCTGGCCCAATGCGGATTGGAGGATATTAACTACTGCAAATGCAGCCGGGACCGACGGCTTAACGTGCCTTCCGAAGCACGGAGTGGCTCGAGATAATAATTTTTCGGTCACCCATCCCGTGACCGACCCTAGCGAAAGTTGCTTAACGACTACGATCGCGGGCCACGGCGCTTATCCACTACGCCACCGAGCTACTTATATATGTATAAAATACTATTTTGACGTGTAAATACAACTGTATAGTGAGATAAATAAGTATTATTAGATAACATTATGCTTGTAAAAGAGATAATGAACTCTATATGTCCGATAAGTGTAATATGTTACGCAATATTATCGTAATCGGCTTCTTATCCCGTTATTGAATGGAGCAATGTGTCCTAAGCTTTGATCCGGGGTCATGTAATATACAGGGTCATTTGTAAAACACCAGACTGTTTTTTTTTCTTTTTTATGGGATAGGGGGTAGACGAGCAGACGGATCACCTGATGGTAAGTGATTACCGTCGCCCATGGATACCTGAAACACCAGAGGGGCTACAAGCGCGCTGCCGGCCTTGGAGGGAAGGGTTGAGGGGTAGAGGGAAGGGAGTAGGGAGGGGTTGGGCCTCCGGTACCCTCACTCACACGACGAAACACAACGCAATCGTTGCTTCACGTCGGTTTTCTGTGAGGCCGTGGTATCACTCCGGTCGAGCCGGCCCATTCGTGCTGAAGCGTGGCTCTCCCACGGTTAAAAATGTAAAAATGTACGGTTAATATACAAAACGTTATATTGTATCAACACACAGAATAAAGCAAAGTCCCTTCCCGCTGTCTGTGCGTTGAAATCTTTAAAATCACACAACGGATTCTAATAAAGTTTTCATTGATATACAAAACAATTCAAGATGAAGGTTATCACGAATAATACAGGACGCGAGCAAAGCTGCTGGTGGTAAGCTAGTTGTAATAGTATATTATTTGTATAGGGCCGACTCGTCCGTATAGGCAAACTAGGCACTGCCTAGGGCACTCGTATATCGAGAGGCAATGCCTATCGACGTTTATCGACGAACAGATTAGTATGCTCTAATTATTTGAACCTTAAATTATAAAATGAATTTTGTTCATTAAACACGACCCCATGTCGGCTATATTATAAAAAATATAAATATACAATTTTCAGACCGGCAGTACGAAAGGAATTACTTTTGTTATAAGCAAAACTACACTCAAATACTTATAATACCGGATATTAGACCGGGTATTATAAGTATTTCATAAAGCAGCGCGATAGTTTAAAAGTGAAAACTACACTCTTCAATCATGTTCATCACCTATGTAGTCTTTTATGTTGTTAAGGGCTTCTTTTGTGTTTAGGTCCTGTTTAGGCCGGCGCTGTCTGTGAAGGGCGTCTATAATGATAATGTCTTTATTTACAATAAATAGGGTTATACATATATCATCATCATCATCATCAATTCAGCCGAGAGACGCCCACTGCTGGGCATAGGCCTCCCCAGAGATCTCTAAAGCAATCGATCCTGCGCCTCCCGCATCCAGCGGCTTCCCGCGACCTTCACCAGATCGTCGGTCCACCTTGTGGGGGGCCTCCCAACACTCTCTAGGACCTTATCGCCCCAACGGCCGTCAGTCCTGCGCGCAATGTGCCCTGCCCACTGCCACTTGAGGTTCGCAATTCTTTGGACTATGTCGGTGACTTACGTTCTTCTGCGGATCTCATCATTTCTGATTCGATCTCGCAAAGAAACTCCGAGCGTAGCCCCTTCCATCGCCCTCTGAGCGACTTTGAGCTTCCTTATAAGGCCCATCGTAAGCGGCCACGTCTCGATACCGTATGTCATCACTGGCTCATATACATATATACAGTGACGATATTAAACTTTGAGTGAGAGCTTTGACCTATTTAGCCAACTTTTTTTTTAATGCTATTCAAGTTGAATAGCATTAAAAAAAAAGTTGTAGGTATTACTTAGACTAAACTTAAAATATTTCATAAAAACATAAAATTGTGTCAAATTTAATAATATCAATTATAGTAGTACATGTTACAACCAATCAAAATATTACAATAGGGATGATGACTAATGTTTGTTTGTTTGTCCGTCAGGTGGAGTGTTAAAAAATATTAAACACGTATTTTTTTATTCTTTTCGTAATCATAAAATTACGGCGTTACATTGAGTTGAAATTTCGCATGACGTCACGTTAGAGTACGTTTTCTACTCAACTGTGTCGTAGCGAGCCCCCACTCCTCAACTTTTATGCCTGTTATCTATACTATTTCTTGTTAAATTGAAGTAAAAAAAAATACGTATCTAATATTTTTCTATTATCCGACTGACGGACTAAATAGAATTGCATTTTTTTTACCCAGTCATCATCCCTATTGTGTCAAAACTTCAGTAAATTATTACTGAAATCGACTGAAATAATTAAAGTAAACAATTGGAAAAATACGTAAAATACACAAAAAAAAAACATTAGCATACGACCTCTTTAGAGATGTTGTCTAATGGCTGGTTTACACGTAATACGATTCGAGTACGTATAAACACACAAACAAGTAGTGAGTAATAGCATAGGTAACTACTTATGAGCTTAATTGAATTTAAAATTAGAGTGTACTTTTGACTTATCTACATAAGTACGTGTAAACTAGCCATAAAGTAAAGTGTACGTACCGTGCGCGTGCGCGGCCCTGTCGTCGTGCAGCAGCGGCACGCGGCTCTCGTTCACCGCCGCCATCTCGTGTGATCGCCGCGTATCACATCACTGATCACAAACCTGAAGTAATCATTATAATTTTTATATTTATACTGAAAAATAGTCTTAATGAAATATGCTAAAAAATCCACTTTGTCCCTGGACTCGAACCAATGATTCTCCCAATTCGGGCGATTGCTCTAACAATTGAGCTACCCAGGACCTAACAGAACTGATGAATTATTCAAGCACTTGTTACTTTTTGCAGGTTTCGGAGTTACACATTTTCGGAGTTTGTGTAATACAAACATTACACAAACTCTTTGTCTACTTTAGGGCTCGTCATTAAAGGAGAATTATACTTAAACAACTATAAAATATGGTTTTCCTGATAGAGAAAATTGTCTAGGATGTACCCACAAAAAAAAATTAAAAATGTGATTTTTCAATTTTTCGCTATGATTTCACAGTATTGTTTATTTATTTATTTAGTTTGTATAATTTTAATAATTCAATGCAACAAGAATTAAAGTTTAAACACGTCTGAATGATCAGATAATTATCCAAAAAATATTTAGCTTGATAATTACGAACCATGTTTTTTTCTCTACTACACAGCGTATTTTCATTCATCCACCCAAACAGCCTAAAGAAATATTTTGGCTTTCGATAAAGATGTAAACTTGTTATAATTATAAGTATTTGATCAATTTAGCATTCAAAATGCTGTACATGTTTAATGAAAAATGTTTAAAAAATCCACTCTATCCCCGGCACTATAAACCCTCATACGAAACAATAGGCGACAGTGATATCCAAACATTTATGAATACAATACACATCAAAGGTCAGTGTATGTCGGTTGTCCACAACGACAATAATATCCGATCTAAAATCTTTGTAACTATATGATTTTACGCGACTCTGCCCGCGACAATTGTATGCGGCCTACAGAGCCCTGGGCATACAATATCACAATGCCAGGGGCTAATAGGGTTGCCTCGTCACTGGATTATAAAGGGATTGCTAGCAGAGGCGCTGGTTGACAGCTCCTCAGCTGTTATAAGATAGCGTATAGGCATAAGAAAGCGTCGTGACGAGACTGGACGTGGACAGTGCTATTATGCAGCACTGGACACGCGTTCGTTACACCAAAGACACAAACTTATCCCATAATAATAATAATTTCAATACAATATAAGTAACATAGCTTATTAGTAAATTGCTACTGACATTATGGACACCCCATGAATAAATCAATAGTATTTAAACAAAAATAGTTCCCGAAATCAAACTAGATGTCGCTACGGTACTTTCTTGATTTCTCCGGTTTTCTAACATGTATAAAAGTAAATTAGTTTTCATAACTCAATAAACAACTCATATTCTATATGTACTTTTTTACATTTCTATTGCCCCTTGAGGGGTTTAGTCATATTATAAATTATTATCAGAGGTCGGAATTAGGTAGAGTTATTTATGTACTTGCATCGAAATGTTGATATTAATGTGGACCTTCCCGGGATTTCTTTATTTCTTTCTTTCATTGATGTAAGTTTGGCAACGTCGTGCGTGCAGTAGTTTAAATTGTGTAAAAGTAAATAACTTTTTATTTAAAACATCAAGGGATTTTATCTGCTCTTTAAAATTAATCTCGGGATTTGAGGCATATCCACTTTATTCTTTCGCTGTATGAAATCAGTGTAAGTACATGAATAACTCTACCTAATTCCGACCATTGATTATTATATATACTCATCACTCTTTCACGTAAAAACTACTGAAAAGGTTTTGCAGATTTTTGCAATACGGGTACTTCTAAGGCTTTATATCCCAATAGACAGTTCCCTGGGGACCACGCGGGAGAAGCCGATAGCGGAAAGCTAATATTTGAATATATGAAACTAGTGGCCGCCAGCGACTTCGTCCGCGTTTTCCATTATTTCTTCGCTCCTAATAGTTGCAGCGTGATGTTATATAGCCTAAAGCCTTCCTCGATAGATGGTCTATTCAACACAAAAAGAATTTTTCAATTCGAACCAGTAGTTCCTGGTTAGTGCGTTCAAACAAACAAACAAACACTTCAGCTTTATAATAATAGTATAGATATTGTAATACTAGATTTAAAATATAAAAAGCACCTTTATTAACATTATCACCTTTTAATTACTTCCAAATTACGTTTTAATTGCTCTAAATTGAGGAGATAAGAGTTTCTTTAAAGACAATATATGTATACAATGACTGTACGTACAGTATGTTATCATATCAGCCACATAACTAAAATAGTAAAGTCACTTGACAAATTAATACCTTCATATCTTCTAGTTGAAATTAGATTGTGACGGGTATAAACGCGATAGATTTCGATAGCTAGGTTTTTCACCTACCTGTATTTCAAATAATATTCTAATAAAATATTAATAATAATAATAGGGTGCCTGGAAGAGATCGCTGTTTAACGATAAGGCTGCCTTTTGTGTACTCTGTATTGTTTTATTGTGTAATTTCGTTCTGTTTTCCTGTCTGTATGTGTGCAATAAAGATTATATTATTATTATTAAATTTAATGAAACTTTAAAATAAGAGTCTGTTCTTTTCAACAACTCTATAAAGGAATGTTTAAAAAAAACTGATTTACTATGGCTTTCCTTGAAGTTTAATCTTGTAAATTATTTTGCACTCCTCTCACATTATCAGTTTATAAAAAAGGCAGTTTGACAGAAATAAAATTCATTTTAATCAATGAGGAAGTAATTTAAGCACCTCCACTAGATGGCGACTCTAGCAAAAGTTGATTTTTGCAGGAAACAAATGGACCAAAGATAGCCATTTCCGTTCCTTTTAACTAATATTAAAAAAAAAAACCGAAATTTCGAAACTCTAAGTTATCAATACAAATATGAAAATGTACAAATAGAATATGAGTTGTTTATTGAGTTTTGACAATTAATTTACTTTTATACATGAAAGAAATGGAAGAGTTGTCATGGAGAAATCAAGAAAGTACTTTAGCAACATCTAATTGGATTTCGGGAACTAATTGTTTTTTAAATTCTTCCTCATTGTGCTTGTGCAATAGAATAGTGTTCATAACGTATTATGGCCTAGAGCATAATACTTAAAATCATTACAAAAAGTGGGTAAAAAGCTGGTGAGGTTTTGTTAGTTCTTAAGTTTCTTCTGCTTTTAGCTGACTAAATTTAATTGTAACAGCGGTTCATTTGCTAAAAATGTAGAAGAAGATATCGAAATAATATTATTAATGGAAAATGCTTAAAAATTCCCTGGTACTCTGTATCCCTGGTAAGATGGAAAATTAGGAAAAATACTGAGTACCAGAGACAAAGTGGATTGTTTAAGCAGTTCTCATAAAAAATATCTTCCAGTATACCATTGTGAATTCAAAATTTATCAAATATAATACAAATAATATTAAATATCAAATGAAAACACTACTTACACTTCCACTGTGCTATATACTTAAAAATGCAATTAAATGATATTGAATCATTAAGAAAATATTAATAGAATAGAATTTCCAGTAACTGAGAACATTCAATCTTACTAAGTATCCAAAATAAGAAAGTGATCAGCAGCCTACCACTGCAATTAAAATTTCAAAAACTATGCGATATAATAATTTTTATCATAAAACATTTTTAGCTATTTATACTTGTTAAAATTATATGAAGACATTTAAGAATAAAAACTCGGTGGTAGGAGTAGCTCGGTGGCGTAGTGGATAAGCGCCACGGCCCGCGATCGTAGTCGTTAAGCAACTTTCGCAAGGGTCGGTCACGGGATGGGTGACCAAAAAAAATTATTATCTCGAGCTACTCCGTGCTTCGGAAGGCACGTTAAGCTGTTGGTCCCGGCTGCATTTGCAGTCGTCAATACCCTCCAATCCGCATTGGGCCAGCATGGAGGGCCACGGCCCATCCTCCTTAACCATCCATCAGGAAGGCCTGAGCCCCTGCAGTGGAGACGTAAAAAGGGCTGGTTGTATTGTATAAGAATAAAAACTACTCAGAACATTATCAATTATCAGCAAACTTTAATTGGTAAAAATAAATAAATTAATAAATTTTCTTCGGGGTAATCACGAATGCAGGGTAATTCCGAAAATGACATTAAACAAGCAATATATATATTCTATCTAATTTAAAGTATTTTTATCTATTAATTTTTCTTTTGCTTGTCAACTTTATCAACAGTTGATAAAAAATAATGCTGATTTGGAGGTAGTTCATCATTTTCCTGCTTTCGGTATTACCCCAAAGCACTATATATCATTTTTGTTATTATTCTTTATACTGTAAGTTTTATACAACACGATTTTTATTTACCAATTATATTTTTACCAGTGAGACCACCAATTTGTTTCCATGTAATATTCTCATACAACAATCCTCTTTAAGAATATATTCTTGAAAATCATATTAATACAAATCAAATAGTCCAACTGTAATTTTGTGGAGTAAAAATATAATAAGAAATCTAGCTAAGTAGTGTATATCTTGACCAAGAATGATTCTACTTGTGTAATACTATCGCTCTATGCAACCTTTCAAATTTACTGTTAATATATTATTTCATATATGTGCCACAAATTAAAATTATATTAAAGTATTACATTGAAGCACAATTGTTTTTCTCAAAGTTCAAAGTCTATTTTTTGACCTTGAAACTATTTGTTGGGGCCTACAATAGACTGCAGAGGCTCTAGCATTCTATAAATAGTAATGTTTGTTTAGTCCACAATAATTCAATAACTTACTTTAGCCAGAGTTCCATACACAACCAACTGGAGTTTCAAAGTTTTAAATTTGATCACTGATATCGTTAAACTGGTTCGAATAACACAAAATTACTCGGAACTTTTTGTGATAAATTTTCACACTTCACTTTAGACGCTTTTGGTGAAAATTTCTTTAATAAAAAATTGCAAAAACATCACGCATTATAAATCGCACTTTGCTCGCTCACCTACAATGACATAACAGTGACATAACAGCAGACAACTTGACAGAAGACAGCTG